TGGTGAAGAAGAAAAAACATTAGTGTTGCCTGAGCTGCCTGAGCAAGGTTGTGCCTGGGTGCATGGTCTTTGGTGGGAATGATAGAAGGAAGGGGCTGGCTTTGGATGGCCTTGGGAATACTATAGTTCACTGTTGTTCCTTTGGAATGCCTGTGGGAGAGTTAGGAGGAAATAGTGCCTCCGGGTTCTGCAAAGGCAATGTTTTGAACATCCCAATGTTTTGAACAAGCCTACTGATCTTTGTCATACACAGGGTAGGAGCCTGGTTGTAGCCTAAGGGTTGGGGTTGGGGGCAGGGCTTGGGGGATGAGACCAGCTTCCTTCCTAGCACTTTGCCGCGACCCTTCACTGCCCCCCAGTGTTCCCCTGGAGCCTGCCTAATCAGATCCAGGCCTGACCTCATCAGAGGTCCTGGACCAGGAGGAAAGCCCTCCCCCACCCTTCAGATCTGCTCTCAGGAGCCCCCTCCCCTTGGGTGATTTATAGGAGTGTCTGGGACCGTTTCCTGCCTGTTTCTGCTGCCTTCTAACCTGGAGATTGCTGAGTTCTCTCTGTTTGTCTTTCCACAAGGCCAGGCTGTACCCAAGGTGCAGGGGGTCACTGGGAGAGTCCTTCCATTGCATAGGGATAAAGGTGCTCCTTCCTCCTGTCTCCACAACTGCTGCCATCCATGCTTTTGTCCTTCCTGTCACTTTCTCTGACTAGCACACCAGGAGGCCATTGCTTAACCATTGCCCATTAACCTCCCCCATCAGGAAGTTTGAAGTGAGGTTCCCAAAGATATCCCTGCCAGACCACAGGTGTCAGCAGGATATGAAGCATCAATAGCCCTAAACCACAGCACCACCTTCAAACCCACTGGTCACTGATGCAATACCTCTAGCACTGCCACAGACTGTAGTGGTGTATATGTATATCATTTTCCAGTATCCACTATCATCCGGCATTCTTGTGCAGGACTCAGGGCATTTAGAAGTCCAGCCCTCAGTCCCACACATCCACGCTTACCCAGGAACCCTCTTTCTAGAGAGACACAATGTGGGGGGGGTGGGGGCAGGAGGAACTGCTCTCCCGGGCTCTGTGTTTCTTGCCAGTACAAGCCCAGACAAAAACAGACTAGTCAACCAAACATATCCCACGCTGAAAGATTGGGAGAGACCTAACTGGCCCCAAGAAACTTCTCCCCCCCCCTCCGACTTCCTAAAGAAAAGATATTATTGCCTGTGAACTAGGAGTGAGTGGAAGTGTCCAAGAGACACTGGCTGAGTATGCTCATGCCAAGACTGTGAGTCTGCACTAGGGCTTGTTTGTGAAGGCAGCAGAGGCCAGAGCTGCCAGGCCCGGTTGGCTGAGGTTGGCTGAGCACCTGCTTGCCCCTTTACTTGCAGGAGGCCTGCGCTCAGCCACACCTGGCAGGGTCTCCCCTGGGACACCTGAGGGGCATAGCATAGCTGGCTGACCTTAAAGGCTGGGGGCAGTGTGAGGTAGGGAGGGAAGGAGAGGCCTCCTGAAGAAGACCATGGGCCACCTCTGTGGGCTCCAGCTTGTGGGACTAAGCTCCATCTCTGGAGCTCCTGAGCCCCCAGCTCCTCCAGACTTGTAACACGTTGCAGCTCCCAACCAGTGAGAAGAGGCTGCTCCAAGTGGAAGTCCATTCCAGGGTGATCTGCTCTTGGAGAGTAATAGAGTTGCTGGAGAGCTGTGAGGCATTCCAGCAGAGGGCAGAGGGCGCGGGGCATGTTTCTGGACGTTTTCCTTCCATCAAATGAAGCGGCTGGCTTTAGATGCACCTTTAAAGGCCGTTACCCTGCCAGTGAAATGTTTGATAGAGAGGTGTAGGGAGCATTGCTCAGTGGAAGTGAAATGTGGAGCCCTGGGTGGGGTGGGGGTACAGCTTAGGCGCCCCCTGCTTTACACTGCCCAAACAGCATCGCCTGGCTCCTTACCTGGGACCCCTTCCTGCTCTCCGCTCATCTCCAGCAGTATGCTCAGCCCGGTTTTGTCATTGCTTAGTTGTGATAGGGGATGGAGGAGGCCTGATGGTACAGGCAGACTTTTCTACATCCCCAGCGCCCTGATCAGAAAGCGCCTTTTCCCTGGTCTCTTTCCTCCGGCCAGCTACTAGCTCTAAGCACTTCCAGGGATCCCAGAATGGGGACTAGGAACACAAAAGGATTCGGTTCCTTAATGAGGAGGCATCTGTAGTCGGCAGAGCCATTAGTCCCGCCCCAGGTCCCTGGGGGGTAGGGAGGGGGCATGCTGTGAGCTCCTTTCCAGCTGGAGTTGGTGGGGGGTGCTGTCAGCTCCCAGCTCCTGAATGGGCAGAGCCCCAGGGGGCACAGACAGCCAACCCAGGAGCCTGGGTACCCTCTCTATCCTCCTAAATCTGCAGGCTATCTTGCCCTCCTGGAGGTTAAGTCCTGGTGGCAGAAGAGGGGTCCTGAGAGCACCTTGTCACCCACCCTTGAGCCCCTGGGCTGACCTGCAGGCCCTTGGACCCACAGCCTTTGGCCTGACACCAAGCAGGCTGACCTCAGGGTGATCCCCAGGGATCCTCTCCCCGGGCCTGGTGAGGACACCAGCTGCAACACTTGCCCCCCCCACCTCCTGCCCCGAAGTACTACTTGTAAGGGCTATTCCTAAGTGGGTATGCGTGGTCCATTACCTCCTCAGCACCAGAATCACAGCCCCTATTCACAGCCTACTGTGGACACTCAGGCCACAGTCAGCCACCTCCACCTGGCATACACAGCCACTGTGCAAGTCGGAGCACACACCCAACAGCAGCATTCCCAGGAGACCTTGAGAGAGGAGGAGGCAGGTCGGGGGATTTTTATGCATGTTTATATTTAATGAACCACATGCAAATGAGATGGAAAACGTGCCACAAAAGAGTCTGCCCCTAGAGACTCTGGGAGGAAGGGCACAAAGACTCAGCCTTTGGGGCTGCCCTGGAGTCCAGAACAGGCTTGAGGGTTGAGTGGGCCTGAGATGGGTGTGCCCACCCACTCCAGGGAGCCAAGACCAGGAGCTGGGACTGGCTCCAGCATCCCTGCTGCTGCAGGGGGTGGGGGGGTGGTGAGAGAGCCCCTTGTGGGAGGGGACGACTGTCCCGATTGATGGAGTGTGGAGGGGAGGGGCTGCCTGCCTGGACAGATGGTGAGCCGCCTTCCTGCACTTGAAGCAAAGTGGATTTTAATGAAATCTGCAGCCCTGGTGCTGAAACTGGGAACCCTAGCGGGAGGCCCCTTCTCCAAGCCTTACAGGGGCATGAGAGTGGGTAGGAACATAATCAGGCCTAAAATGAGCTGCGGTGCTCCTCTGCTCTTGCCTCTGCAGACCAGAATTCAAGGGGCTACTTAGTTCGATCCCCAAAAGGTAGGGAGGGGGTCCCTGCATATTTATGACACATTGAAATGTAGATTGGTAAGCCTGACAGTATTCTGAGAGGCTTGTCACCTTGGAGGGATACAGCACCCTTTTGGGGACACAATGAGAAGCTGTAGTATACCTGGGTGATGACACTGGGCAAAGGAAAGGCCCTGGGCCTCAGTAACCAGGTTCTAATCTTGGACTAATCATGTCCCTCAGTATCCTTTTCTATAAAAGAGGCAGCATCCTCACGCCATATATACTGTTGGGGGTGGTTATAAAAATAAATTCAAAAGCAGCTGAGCAGGTAGAAGTAAGGTTTCTTTGACTGTCTTTGTAGGCTAGGCTTCGGGGGAGCAATGCCTCCCAGGGAAACCTCTGATGGCCTCAGATTTCCTTCTTAGAGGTGTGTCAGCCAAGAACTTCTCCAGATTTCCTAGTGCACCCCCCCCCCAGCCTATACCACCTACCACTAAAGGGAGATGGTTCCCACGGATGAGAGGCAGGGGAAGCAGGGAGGTACCCCCAGATTGCTGCCCTGCATCTGTCAACTCCAGAAAAGCTCCTTGCCCCTCACTAGAGTGGGTCCCAGCCCTGTGACCTGCCACCTGTCCTCCCCCCAACCTCAGCCGGTGCCTTTCCTGTGTATTTCCCTTTCTTTCTCTAGCCATGTCGGACTTCCACGTGCACCCCCAGGCCACCGTGGGCGAGGAGGGTGGTGTGGCCCGCTTCCAGTGCCAAATCCACGGGCTTCCCAAACCCCTGATCACATGGGAAAAGAACAGAGTCCCCATTGACACAGACAATGAAAGGTGAGTCACATATGGAAAAGACAGCGGGTACCCGTGTCTGGACTTTGGCGAAGGACTGCCTGCAGCCCGGAGGTGAAGCCATGGGCCCCCCGAGACAGTGGCTTTTCTGCAGCTGTCTTGAGACTGGGTATCCATGGGGCTCACCTGGTCCATACCTGGCCCTCATGGATGCATCCATGAGGCGGGTGGTGTGTGTTCTTTGCCAAGGCTGGAATGACGGTGCCTACCTGCAAGGGTCCCAGTGTGTCTGTGATGATGACAGTGACAGTGGACAGAGTCGGGCTGTGTCTGTGAGGCTGAGTGTCACTATGGCCTGTGTGCCAGTGGCTCTCCCCCCCACCCCTCAACAGGTACACATTGCTGCCCAAAGGGGTCCTGCAGATCACAGGACTTCGGGCTGAGGACAGCGGTGTCTTCCACTGTGTGGCCTCGAATATTGCCAGTGTCCGGGTCAGCCACGGGGCCAGGCTCACTGTGTCAGGTGAGGGTCCTTTGCTCGGCCTAATTCTTCCCCCTTCCCGCCTCCTGCCTTCTCCTCACCCTCAAGCAACTGACTCCTGGAGACTCATCAGCCTAGTGTGTACAGAAGCATTCTACACACAAAGTTCTGTGTCCCTAGCAGTGAGGGTTCAGGGGCATCTGAGGCTCACTCCCTGGCCCTGTTCTACCTGGAAAAGCCAAGCTCTGCCTGTTCCAGAGCTGTCCCATTGCCGGAGGCTCTGCAGGGCCAGGAGCAAAGGAATGGACCCAAGGACAGGCCTGTTCTCCACAGCTCCTCTCTGCCCACAGAACCTGCTGTCTGGGCTGGAGCTTGTTGCCACCCCATGTCGTGAGTTGAGGGTAGGATAAGGTGGTGGTAGCACAGTGGAAGGGAAGAAACGGGGTCTCTTCTTCCCAGGCTCAGGCTCTGGGGCTTACAAGGAGCCGATGATCCTCGTGGGGCCTGAGAACCTCACCCTGACGGTGCACCAGACTGCGGTCCTGGAGTGTGTCGCCACGGGCAACCCACGCCCCATCGTGTCCTGGAGCCGCCTGGGTGAGCCTCCTCCTTCAGCCCAGGCTTCTCCCAGCCCGCCCCACCCCCTGGGAGGGCTGGCTCTCACCCAGCCTGTGGGGACTCTGAATCCTGTTTGTTCTCCATGGGGGTTCGTTCTCTTGGAGGCCTGGGGAGAGGGCCTCCCTCTCCTTGGCAAGACCAGGGGGATCCACCCCTCTATTACATTCTCCCTCCCCCTGTGTGGATGGCTTAGCTCCCGGGATACCTCTTCATCCCAGCATGAGGTCTCCAAACCCCTCTGTAGCTCTCTGTGCCCCCAGTCTCTTTCCCTGCCCTCTCTACCCTGGCCATCCTTCCCAGCTCTGCCATCCCAAGCCCCTCCAGATCTCAGCCAGTGTCAAAGCCTCACTCTGCCCGCCCCCCCAGTCTCTAGCCTGGCCCCCTAAATCCCCAGCTTAAATCCCTAGGCAGCTGAAGGAGAGAAATGAAAGGGTGCAGATGGGCCCACATTGTCTGGGTGGAAAGGTCACGGGGGAAGGAGAGTCTGGAGGCGATGGGGTGGGGTCCGCATTCACAGGGAGACTGCACCACATTGTGGCAGCTGAGTGATGGGGAAGGAGGGGGCAGCAGGCGGGATAATGGAGTAGATTTCACCACTTCAGGGACTGAATGGAGAGCTGTCTCCTTGCATTCTGACTGTGCTAATCTGATCCCTGGCTGGGGGTGGAGGGGAGGCCTGTCCCTGGGAGAGGCTAGAAAGAGTGGCCTCAGCATGAGGAGGAGTCCTCAGAGGACCGTCTGGTCCAGCGTTTCCCAAAGCCTGCTCTGCAGAGGGTAAGAAGGACTCGGGGCCTGGCACATTTGGGAAACAGCTCACCAGGTCCTTTCGGATTAATGGACACTGGGGTGGATGGAGGGAGTGGAAAGGATCTTTAACCGTGGAGTGTTTTCAAGAGAGACAAACTAGTTTGGGAAGTATCTGCCTAATTTGAACCCCTCACTTTCCTGACTGGGAAACTGAAGGGAGGGATTAAAGAACCCCAGTGAGTCAGTGACAGTGCTAGGGCCAGGACTCTTGTCTCTGCTGCTACTGGTGCAGAGTCCAAGATTGGGGCTCCCTGGGGCTCGGTAAATAGAGTGACAACAAATCGGGGCTCTCTGGAAGAGCAGTGGCATGGCCTGGGGTCCCTGCACTTGTCCACACGCATCTCGCTGACCTCCCTTCTTCCCCTCCTCCTCAGATGGCCGCCCCATTGGAGTGGAAGGCATTCAGGTGCTGGGCACCGGGAACCTTATCATCTCAGACGTGACCGTGCAGCACTCAGGGGTCTACGTCTGTGCCGCCAACAGACCGGGCACCCGGGTTCGGAGAACAGCGCAGGGCCGGCTGGTGGTGCAGGGTACAGACCTTCCCCTGCGCGGCCTCATCATCCCGCCCCATTCCCTCCCCCAGAAGCACCCATGGCCCACCCTGGGGCCTGTCTTCTACTCAGTTTCCTCCTTTCACCCTAATCCTGCCCCCTGCCCCGCCCCCAGTGCCCAGGGACAACTGTCTCTTCCCTCCAACCCCCCATGTGTGTGCTGAGAATGGGGGGACATTCTTAGCCCCATGTGCCCCTCCAGGTGCCAGCGTCACGCCACCCACCCCCATACCCACCGTCCACCCCAGTCATTTCCACCTCATTGTCTCAGCTGGTCTCCCCGGCCTGTATCACTGACACACGTCCCTCCCCCATGAGCTGTTTGCATTCACACGTGTGGCACTTCCACGCTCACACCTGCCTGCCAGCGCTCAGCGTGTGTCATTTTCACACTCTCACGCCCCAGCGCCTGCCTCTGCTCCACGTGTGTGAGGCCATTCTGTCCATCCCTGCCCTGGGGCTCCTCTGTCCCCATGAACCTTACATGCCTTCCCAGTGGCAAGGGCCTTCTGTGCTTGTGCCCCCCCACACCCGGAGCGTCAGGGTGGGGTGAGAGAGGGGGAACAGGAACTTAAATGCCCGTTTGTTTAGCATTCCATGTGCCGTTAATCTGTCCAAATGAAAGTGATGGAGCATTTCATTTCTCGGGTCTTAATGGAGACTTGAGGCTTGGGATTGGAGGAGAGTGGAATTGAATGTAGGGGTGACGGGGGAGGGGGGGCTGTACTGAGGGCTCATCCATCTCCCCGTCATTACCTCCTTCGAGGTGCAGCCAAACCTATTAGCACATTTATTTATTTAACAATTTCCTGAACAGGGAGCTCAGCTTGATTGCTTTAGGATACAAATGTCAGTCTTCTAAATAGGCATTAAAATGGAGTCCTCTCTTGGGTCTGCCTCTCTGGGGCAGAGGGAGTGGGACTTGCCACTCCTGGGGATCCCTGCTAGGGTAGAAGGTGGACCTCCCCAACACCCCCAACACCCCCAACCCAGAAATCTCTCGGGAGTGGATGAACCCACCCAGTCGCCTGCAGGCCTTATTATTCCCCTTTCCTGGCAGCTGTCTCCTCCCTCTTCACTTCACCCTCACGACTCTCCCTGCTTCTCTGTGCCCGCCCTACTTCCAGCCCCAGCAGAGTTTGTCCAGCATCCCCAGTCCATCTCCAGGCCAGCTGGGACCACAGCCATGTTCACCTGCCAAGCCCAGGGTGAGCCACCCCCTCACGTCACGTGGCTGAAGAACGGCCAGGTGCTGGGGCCAGGAGGCCACGTAAGGCTCAAGAATAACAACAGGCACGTGTGTGAGTGTGTATGTCTGTGTGTGTGTGGCATACTGGGGTGAGGCCGGGAAAGAGATAGGGAGCCGGGGACAGCGTGCCTCTAGCAGGCACTAAATTGGGAGTCTGGACTCTTGGGTTGCATCCCAGGTCTGTCGCTAACTTGTGAGAAACCTCAGATAAATCACTTGGTTTCTGGGGTGGAGGGGGGGGGGTTTGGTTAAATTTCCCCATCTTTCAAGTGGGGTGATTTGGCCAACCCCTGGGGCTACCCTGAGAGAGGAAAAGAGAATCTGAGGCTTTCCCTCCCTCTGTAGCACCCTGACCATTTCTGGAATTGGCCCTGAAGACGAGGCCATCTACCAGTGTGTGGCTGAGAACAGTGCTGGCTCCTCACAGGCCAGTGCCAGGCTGACGGTGCTGTGGGCCGAGGGGCTTCCTGGACCCCCCCTGAACGTGCAGGCAGTTTCTGTGTCATCCACCGAGGTCCGCGTGTCCTGGAGCGAGCCCCTGGTCAACACCAAGGAGATCATCGGCTACGTGCTGCACATTAGGAAGGCTGCCGGTGGGTGGGGCCGGAGGGCAAGGCTGTCCTGCAGCCCCGTCCTCTGAATTTGTGGCTTCTCCTCCCTTTCAACCTGTATGTCTGTCTCCACCTCCCATTCTTCCTCACTCCCTGCACCCTGGCTGCCCTAGTTTCAGCAAAGCTGGCAGGGCTCCCCCATGCCCCTTACACTTCCTGCCCAACCCTCCACCTCCCCAGACCCACCAGAGCTGGAGTATCAGGAAGCAGTTAGCAAGACCACCTTTCAGCACCTGGTGAGCGACCTTGAGCCCTCCACTGCCTACAGCTTCTACATCAAGGCCTACACCCCGAGAGGGGCCAGCTCAGCCTCTGTCCCTACAATTGCCAGCACCCTAGGAGAAGGTGAGGCCTGCCTAGAGCGTTCGGGTATTAGGGCTTGTTCTTGGTTGAGCGGGGCACAGAGGGCCTGGCCTGAGGCTGAGTGGGGACTGGGTCTAGAGGAAGGGGTGTCCCCCTTTTCTAATTCACGTGAAGGTGTGGTTTGAGCCAGTGGAGGCTCTGGATCAGAGGCCAAAATGCTGTCAGACTAGAGTGTTCTGGGTCACAGGAAGAAGGTGGGAAGGTAGTAATTCAGGAGAGACCTCACATCTTCGCCTCCGCTGTCTGCCCCCGCAGCTCCGGCCCCACCCCCATTGTCAGTGCGGGTCTTGGGCAGCTCCACCCTGCAGCTGCTGTGGGAGCCCTGGCCCCGGCTGGCCCAGCATGAAGGTGGCTTCAAGCTGTTCTATCGCCCAGCAAGCAAGGCCTCCTTCACTGGCCCCATTCTGCTGCCTGGAACTGTCTCATCCTACAACCTCAGCCAGCTCGGTGAGCTGGACACTGCTCCTGGCTTGGGGAGCTGGGCAGGGGTGTGTGCATGGGGCTCCGAGGTGGCGTGCAGGAATCACCTCTGTTTTCCTGCTAGGACAGAGCTGCCTGAAGGGGATGGGGGGGGCCATCACTCAGCAGCCCCGCCTTTCCCCCAGACCCCACTGCAGTGTATGAGGTGAAACTGCTCGCCTACAACCAGCATGGGGATGGCAACGCCACAGTCCGCTTTGTGTCTCTGAGGGGAGCATCTGAGAGGACAGGTATGGATTGGGTATGGGACATGGGGCTGAAGATTGACATCCTGGAAGGGAGACGAGGAGCTGAGAGTGGAGGGGAACAGGGCCTCAGGAAAGATAGGGGTGTGGAACAGGGCAAACAACCCTTCAGAACTTAGGTGTAGACCCCAGTTTGAAGTGTTGCTGTGCAGCCTCAGGCATGTAACTTAACCTCTCTGAGCTCAAATTTTCTCCTCTGTAGAACAACAGGGATACTAGCTGTTTTATAGTACTTAATAAGAATAAAATCGTCCAAGTATTATTCCCAGGATCTGGCACAAAGTTAGTGCTTGGTAACAGGTAAAAAGAGGCAGAAAATTAGTTGTAGGATTCTATAGGCAGAGGGAAGGGACATGTGGACTTGGGGGTGGGGACTCCCAGGGGATGGGTATCTGGGCTTGTTTCAGACCAAGAAAGCCACAGCCCCCCTCCCACTCCACTTGCCCCTCCCCCCACCCCCAGCCCTGAGCCCACCATGTGACTGCCGGAAGGAAGAAGCCACCAACCAGACATCCACCACAGGCATTGTCATTGGCATCCACATTGGGGTCACCTGCATCATCTTCTGTGTCCTCTTCCTCCTGTTTGGCCAAAGGGGCAGGTAAGTCCTGGGCCAGGAAGAGGGGGCTGGCTGGCATGGGTGGGAAGGCCTGGAGAAGTGGCAGGGAAAGGTTTTGGGGCTCACTGTATCTTTCCTTTTGTTCTCATTCTCTCCCATTTCTCCCTCCAAATCATGGCTCATCCCTCAGGGTCCTCTTGTGTAAGGATGTAGAAAACCAGCTCTCCCCTCCTCAGGGCCCCCGAAGCCAGAGGGACCCTGGCTTTCTGGCCCTTAACGGGTTGGGACGGGGAGAACGGGGTCGAGACGAGAAACATGTGGACATGAAGGAACTGGAGCAATTGTTCCCCACCACTGGGGCAGCAGAGCAGCCAGACCCCAGGACTAATGCCAGACCCATGGTGAGTGCAAGCCTCTTCATTTGGGCTCTGGGCACCACCTCATCCTGCCCTCCCTTCACCTAGGTCCAGACCTGGTCATCGGCCAAACATTAGGTCCGGCCAGGCATTCTCTGTGCCTCTGACCCAGAGCCTGGGCCTCATGCTAACGTGGTGTTATTCACCCTTTCCTCAGCAGGACCCTGTAGCCCCCACCCCACGCGAGGAGACCCAGCCCTCGATGCTGCCAGTTCTGGGGATTGACCTTCTGGAGGAGACAACTTTGGAGACCAGGGACTCCTGTACAGACCCGGTGGCTGCCCTGCCACCCCAGGATATAAATCCCAGCCTCCTGATTGAAGGACAGGCCCCCCAGCCTTCCACCGCACCAGCTGCCCAGCCAGCTGGCTTGGGACAGTAGCCAGTGTCTGGCTGGCACTGGAGGGGGGCAGTACCCCATTCTCAGGTCAAAGGCAAGATTTCTCCTGTTATGTGAGCTTCAGATGGGGCCTCCCCAGTATTTCCTACCCAACAGCCCCTCAGGTTATCAAGACCTAAAGATACCTTGTCAGGGAACCAGCCCCCTAAGGACCTCGGGGGGGTCCCTGCAGGAGCCCCTTCCCTGGGTTAGTGCCCTCCTCCCTCTGCCTGACTTTCCATGCCTTGGAACTGAACTGTTTTTCTGTAACAACAAACAAAACTTAAAATGTTCCCCCCACTTCCCAAAAAAGAGCGAGAGAGAGGAAGGTGGATTAGATTCCAAAAATATGTCCCTATTATGACTGGGCCCCGACACTGTCACCCTGCACCGACCTTGTTTTCTCAGGATGGATTTTGCTGTTTTGGCGCTCAGCACCTACCTCAGCCGGAATGAATGTCCGTGGGGGAGTGGGCCGCAGTCTCAGCCCCTGCCCCCAGAGCCCTGACTGCACTCCTACCTCAAGTCCCTTTATGGGCGCCTCCTCTTCCTCCCCACATTGTTGTCCAGAGTTTTAAAAAAAAGCAAAAAAAAAAAAAAAAAAAAAGCACTTCCCTATTTCCAGGTGTGAAAGGAAATGTCTACCTCAAGGCTCGCTGGCTCTTTGGGCCTGTGCTGTGTCACTGGACCTCCCTCCTGGCTCCTCTGTCTGCTGCCCACAGCCCTCCTGTCGTCTCCAGAGAGGAGGCCAGGGGCTGAATCACCAAGGGTGGGCCTCTTGGGGCCTACAGAAATGAAGATGGAATTGGTCAAAGAAAATGATGAAAAGCCAAAAATGAGAGGAAACTATTCCCTGGAGTAAAATCGGTTGCTCCAAACGAGCCACCCCTAGCACGCTGCCGGTGTTCGTCCAGTCTCTCCGCTCTCACTTGGACCCTCTCAGGCCATGCGTGCTGGCTGGGATCCCAGCCCCCCTCTCCACTGGGCTTGGAGGGTGGGATGTCCCCCACCGCAGCCTGCCTTCTGTCCCGCCCAGACACAGAGCCCCTGGAGCAGGCTGGTCCCAGAATGTACTGTGTGTGTGATGTGTGTGTGGGGGGAGGGTCTGGGGGGGTCCAGCAGAGGTACCCCAGCCCTCTGTGCCATGGGACCCCAGCTCGACCCCTCCCCGGGCGGTGAGTGGAGCACTGTCGTAGATATGGTGGGAAGCTATTTTTATACAAGGTTTGTTTAGGGATTTATGTTCTTGTGATTTCTTGTTTCTCTTTTCTGTTGTGGTGTCCTTTGAAATAACTAGTTAAGAAGAAGAAGAAGAAACCAAGGAAAACAAATACCTATTTTTGGTTATACTCAGAAACATTTTTTTAAATAGCAGAAAGCAAACTTTTTTTTAAAGGAAAAAAAAGTGTATTGCTTAAGTAAGACATTAGAACACAAATTCCCTGACCCCCAGCCCTCTAAGGATTCCTCACCTCAAGATTTAGTTAATTAGTTGAAGAAAGTAGAATGTGCGGTGTTTTCCTAGAACGTCCTGTCCACATGGACTCGGGGAAGGGTGGCCTGCCCTTCTCTCAAATGATGGGCCCACGCCAAGGGTTCCTCAAAGCTCCTAGGCCGGGCCCCCTCTGTCCCCACAGCGGCCTCTCTGCGCCGTCTTCCCCTGGAACGCCCTCTCCCCTGAGTAGGTGGGTCTGTGGGAGGTGATGGGTGGGCACCCCTGGCCTGCCTTGGCCTGGCTTTTGTCACACTCTACTCATTTTGACTGAATAAAAGTCTTGTTGCCAAAGTGAACCTCAAGTTTCTGGGTAATTGTGTCAGGTCCTGGGGGAAGGGATGGGGATGCTGGGTTTGCACAGGCCAGAGCAGTGAGTGGGTCAGGTGGGCCTTCACAGGACCAGACCCCTGTGTACCACCTACAGGAGCCCGCAGGCAGGTGCTCCCAACCTCCCTGGAGGTCATCATCAGTTCCACTGTGCAGATAATGAAACTGAAAAAGGATACGAGAGATGAAGGAAATGCCCAAAACCTCACAGCCAGTTATGGCGGCATCAGAGTTTGCATCCAGGCCAGGCCTCACTGCAACCATTGCTCTGTGCCTCCTTACCTAGCACTGATGACAGTGCTCTCTGATGACAGCCTAATGGTGCTGGGCCAGGTGCTGGGCAGTTGCATACTTTTCATGTCAATGAGGAGGGACTATTTTCCTCCCCAGCCTAAAGCTAAGAAAACCAGAACTCTTGATCAGTGACTTTTTCCAGACCACACACCCAGAACCTCTGGCCAGACCCATTCATTCCTCCCTGTCCACTCCTCAATCCAGGTTCCTGATGTCATGTGTCTGAAGCTGCCAAGGCTTGGGATAGGTCAAAAGAAACTTGACTTAAAGAGTTGTGCAGACAAAGATCTGGAGGTCTTAGTGGGCCTCAAGCTCAGTAAGAGACAACAGAGAACTGCAATTATTAGAACATTAATGTCCCTGCTACTGCTGAAATGGAAAGTCAGGGACGCTCTCTAGGTCTAGCAGGCAGAGCTCTATGCCCAGAGCACCAGGATCGTGGGTCCCTTGGCTATGGGGCGTGAGGTGATCTCTCTGGCAAGTGCTCACTCCCCCTACCCAGCTTCATACCAGGGCAGCTCCACTGTTATTTGACTTATATATTAGATGCTCCAGGAGATTTCATTTGTGAACAGGATCAGATTATGCTCCTGAAAGAATGTCTGAGAGCCCCTGGCCAGCCTCTTGTGGAAGAGACCTACAGGGTGATTGGGTTGAGGGCAGATTGGAAATGGTGATAGTGCTGTGGAGGCTGAACTGGCATTGCATCCTAGAGCAGAGTCGCCTCAGGCTGCCTGTCCTGAGTCTGGGGAAAGTAGTTGAATCAACCCTAACCTAGGAATTCTTTAACAGCTCCAGTCATCCCAAGGCTGCCTGGGGGAGGTAGTGGGTTTGTTCAGGCAGGCCCTGTAAAGGGATAGGAAAGTGGCCCGAGTTACCTCCAGTGCCCCCATGCTCTTGCAAGAGCCCATGATGCTAGTACCTGCCCAGGACGGTGTTGGGAAATGTTTAGAAACCACCTAATGTGATACATGCAGATGTATGTATATTGTATGTGGACTACATGCAAATATGGGCAGGCCTTGTTTAAACAAGGCCCTGAGTGAAAATAACATAGAGGTAGAAATGGGTTCCCAACCCCTCTGTGTCTGATTCCAATTATTACTGAAGATAGGTCTGGCATTTGGTGGGGGGGGGGTGTCCAGTCCTGAGGCTACAGAGTAGGAGGACCAGACCCCTGTGAACTCTGAGTTTCTCTGTTGCCTCTCTCTCCTCATGCATTGAAGGGTGAGGAGCTAAGACAAGTGGGTGCAAACCTGAGGACCCCACCCCAACCAGGTAGTAAACCCCAGAATGACAGACCTGAAATAGAGCCCCTCATGAGATAGATATGGCCGTTGAGAGCTTATGAGGAGCATGAGAACCCAGAGGGAGTGGAGAGGGAGAAGAAAAGGGTGGGGGCAAGGTGAACATGATGAACAGGTGGGCTATCACCTGGGGCTGGGGCAGCGAGGGGAGTCACACTGCCTATGACACAGATGAGTCTGGGTTGGGGATAGGAAAAGGCAAACCAAGAGCCTGTTACACTCTCCAGATGGAGACTACAGTCAGACGGAGGCATCTAGTCATGTCCCTGCCTCTAAGAGGCGTTATAGGGACTGGCTGGGTGCCAGTGGCTCCCCAGCGCTATCCACACCAGTCACCCAGAGGACTGAGGGTGGAAGGAGGGCCCAGGTTACTGAGGAGAAAGGACAGGCCTTCTGCCTGGACTCAAGTGTTGCATGCTGGCGTACCCAAGACTCAGGGCCCTGCTGATCACCCTGTGCCATGCGACCAAGATGCAGGGCCTAGCCTGGTCCTCACTCCATGATGCCACAGCCTGAGCCTATTCCTTCCCTACATGTCCCTGTCCACCCCCTGCTCAGTTTCCTCTTTCCTCTCCTCTTTCTCCAGCTCTCTCACAGGCCCTACTCTGAGACTCCTCTGAATGCTGTTCAGGCCTAACCTTTACCTCTTGACCTTGTCACCTGGCTCCCTACTACATGCTAAGTATGGAGTGATTCATGCAGGAATTGGAGTTCTGGCTGGAGTGCTGGGGACACTTTCACAGAGCCACAGAGAAGAAATCTTTTAATCTGCTTGGGTTAAACATTGGGGCAGTTTCGTTCCTGGGGGCTTGAGGTCATCCCTCCTGTAGCCACCATGTCCCCCATTACCGGGGCTAAGGCTGGATTGGGAGAGCCAGAGCCCAGGAGAAGCAGCAAGTAGTGAGGATTCCCTTCCCTGTCCAGTTCAGGAGTCACCTTACAGAAGACCTTCACGATCTCCAGTTAGTATAACAAGTGGTCACATGCCCTCAGCCCTTTGCCACCAAAGAGTTAGCCCAGAACTCATGCCTCTTGTCAGAAGAGTGAGCTTTATCTCCTAGAGTGAAGAAGGGGTCCCCTAAAAATGAGGACATGATGACCCAGATGAGGGTGTGGACACTAGAGTCCTATTGACCTGGTTTGAACCTCTGGCTCTGCCAGTTTGGCCATGAGCAAATGTTTTCACTTCTTTAGGCCTCAGTTTCCTTACCTGTAAAATAGGGCTAATACACTCCTGCCTCAGTGGGCTGATGGTTTCTTTGAAGAGATTGATAAGGTGATTCTGAAATTCATATGGAAATGTGAGGGACCCAACTAGACAAACAATCTTGAGCACAAAGAGCAAAAGCAGGAGACTCACATGTCCTTTCAAAACACAGTACAAAGCTACATTAATGAAGACAGTGTTGTGTTGGCATAAGGATAGACGTTATTGGCCAATGGAATGGAATTGAGAGCCCAGAAATATACTCTCACGTTATAGTTAATTGACTTTCAGAAAGTATGCCAAGGCCATTTACGTCAGAAAAAGAACTTTCAGCAAATGGGACAATTGGATATTCACAGGCAAAGAATGAATCTGGACTCCCTTCTCACACTATATAAAGAAAAAAAAAAAGCCTAAAAATGGGTCAGAAACCTAAATGTGAAAGCTTAAATCACAGACAAAATAGAGATGTACATTTTTGTGAACTTTAATTTTGCAAGTTCAAGTTTTTGGGTATGAGGCCAAAAGCACAATCAACAAAGGAGAAAATATAAGTTGAACACCATCAAAATTAAAAATGCTGGTGCATCATCAAGAAAACACACAGACTACCACAGATTGGGAGAAAATATTTGAAAATCACATTCCTGAAAAGGAACTTATGTCTAGAATAGAATGTAAGGAACTCTTACAACCAAAATAATAATGACTTCATAATAAATAAACAAGTGCCCCAATTTAAAAATGGGCAAGGGATATGAACAGACATTTCTCCAAAGAAGATATACAAATGGCCATTAATCACATGAAAAAAATGAAAAGTAAAACCACAATGAGATGCTACTTCATTCCCACTAGGATAAGTAGAGTAAAAAAAGTCAGATGATATTAAGTATTACCAAGGGTAGGGAGAAATTCAGGTCCTCACATACTGCTGGTGTAGTGAATTTTAGAATTTTAGAGTCAAC